TATATATATAGTATATACAGGCCTTTATAATCTGCACATCAAAGGCGGAATTTCAGTCAGAACCTTTTTTTCACCGGCTCTGTCAATCAAACGCTAATAATTTCTATTAAATATTTCCCTCTATTTTTGGCATTTGCTTCTGTTTTTTTTTTTTTTTCCCGCCTCCTTTCATCATTCTGGTCAGCCAGGCCAGCTTGCTGGGCAGGACGGACCACGGGCCAGGCCAGCCAGATGGAAGTGAGATTATCCTCCATTAGATGACATAATGCTGTGGTGGCTGCTATTTCCCAGACACAAACAGAGCAGCCAGCTGGTCCTAAAAACTGCAAGTAGGTGCTGATGATTTATCTGTCAGACTAATACTAAAATAATGATGATGGGGGAAAAAAAAGCAGTAATAGCATGACTAATTTAGTTGGGTTCGTTCCATTAAAAAAACATTTCTATGTCCTAAAACCAACGTTTCAATTCAGCCAGTTCCCTTTCTTCACAACAGTTTGTCGTGTTCATCACACCTAAACTGTCATTCTAAAATTAATGTAGTATCTGTTGTGGTTTTGTCTTGTGCAGGGTGTTTTCTCAGGGCGTAGCTCACACATCATCTATTTAAAGGTTAACGTAAGCTCAAATCATTTTGATGAACAGGACACACACCCCTAATTAAATTTAAAAATATGCAAACTTTTAATATACTAATATGCTGTCAGACAAAATAATGCTTAAGGCACTGAAATAAAAGCACTAAAATGGTGAGCTTGTGAGAGTAAATTGGTTTAAATAAATGTTTTCTTGCACGCTAATTCGATCCTTGGAGAGCTGTAAAATCAGTGATGGTGACTTAATGTACTAAAAAGTTTAGGCACAGTCATTGCTCTTGGGAAAAAATGAGGCATCAGCCAGTAAAACATGATAATGCACAACCAGCTCAACACTGCACCCTAGTGGCGACTGTGTGCAAATGCAATCCGTGATAGGTTTCTGTTTCTGCATGTCAATTACATTTCCTGCACATGATGCACAACAAAGTGGTAAAAACTGCTTGAGAAACAGGAAGACTGAACTGTTTTGAAGCTGTTAGAATTGAATAGAATTTCTTAGTGTTTAGATTGTGTTTTTTATGTAATTTCAAAAGGAAATCTAGTTTAGATTTTAAAATGGCATGGTTATTTTGTTTTTCTTATGACCCATATTTAAAATAAAGTATCATGCATTTCTAACAAAACCATATTACCCCAGTTTTTGGCTTTTGAGGAACTGAGATGCAGTTTTTTTTCCTTTTGTAAATACCCACAGAAATGCAGCAGTTTTCTCTTTTAAGCAGCATAATACAATTTTAGAACCACGTGATGCTGAGAACATTTAATATTTGTAATAAACTATTGAATAAAGAAACAACTAGATATTTC